CTTTTGCATCGGCTGTGGTGTGTGCGGTGGTCTCTGGGGGCGACTCCTCGTCAGTGTTTGGACGCTAGGGTCCAACACTGAAAAGGACTGTTCACAGCTTTAGAGCTGAGCTCCACCTAAAGGGCCTCTGAGCCTTCCCCCTCCTCCCAGTTTCTCCTCTCTGTGGTTTTTTGACACAGAGTTTCACCAGGTAGCTCAGGCTAATCTTTGATTTCCTGTACTCCTGCCTCAGTTTCTGAGTGCCCAGATTACAGGATTTGACATCTTGCCCAGTTTGGGAAATGTTTCTCATGGGTATCCAAGTACTGAAACCCAAAGCTACACTGGACTTGCAACTGCTCAGGTCTAGCTTGATCAGACTTGAGGAGCCCTGCCAGCCTTCCCAGGAAGGTCGCCTGGAGGTGGAAGATGGAGAAGATGGGAGCTTTCACCTCACCAGGTCCCCTCCCATCTCTCCAACGCCAAATTTCTCTTTACAGAGAATTCCCCTCCCAACATGGAGCGAGGAGGACAGGCATATGTGTGGGAAGGGACAGCGGTTTTCTTTCCAAGGTGGAAGAAAATGGTGAGTTAGGCCAGGCATTGTAGTGAGCATACAGAGACACACACTTCATGTACTCACACAGACATGCACACACATACATGTTTCTACCCTGTGTGCCCCAGGGATCAGATCTAGGTTGTTAGACTCAGCAAGTATCATCACTCACTGAGCCATCTCCACCGTCCTCCTCAGCCTGCCCCAAGTCTTCCCGATCAGGCACGAAAACCAAGGCCAGGAAAGGGAGCTGCAGTTGCAGTCAGCTAAGGAATCCAAACCAGTGTGGAGAACTCTGGTTTCTTCCTGTTCCCCACTCCTGGCTCTCACCTGCGCTTTGGGAAGAGAAGTGGCCGGCCCCATGGGGCCGGCGGCTGGAGGGGCTGGGTGCTGACCAGCAGGGGAGGCCCTGCAAATGATCAGGGGAGAATATTTTCTTGCCTGACTGAGCCCAGGTCTCTGTGGCTCCCCATTTCTTCTCTCCCCTTTGCCTCATAGGGAGACAGATCCCAGAAGCTAAAATCGTGGTTTCCAGCTCTAGTCTAGTAGTCCTTCGTGTGAGTCCATTTCGCTGAGTTTCCAGGTGCCCTGTGCCGCAAACCCAGCGAGCCAGCGCTGGCTGGGCTCACAGTAGCAGAGCTGCCCATCAAAGCCTCTGCTTACTTTGTTTTAGACCAGGTCTCCTGTGGCTCAAGCTGGCCTGGAGACTCCTGTGGTTAAGGTTGGCCTTAAACTCTCTTTTTAAAGAAATCAGAGCGGGCTTGGTGGCGTGCGCCTTTATTCCCAGCACTCTGGAGGCAGAAGCAAGTGGAGGATATCAGTGGGTTTGAGGCCAGCCTGGTCTACAGAGCTAATTCCAGGAAAGTTATGTTGGACTCTAGCATCCAAACACCGAGGAGGAGTCTCCCCCAGAGACCACCTCACACACCATAGCCGATGCAAAAGCATGAGGATTTTATTAATTCTGTCATGACAGGGTTCCCCAGCAGTCAGGAAGCTGAGAGACCCCGAATAGACGGCACAGGCTACTTTTAAAGGGGCCACAGAAGCAAGGGGGGTTGATCTTTGACTATTCTGATTGGCTTATTTGAAAGGGCTATTATCAATAATTGACTGGAGAGCTGTTGCCAGATCAGATGAGGTAAGAGGTCATTTTGACCCCATTTCCCAGGGGACTGAATCAAAACATTCGTATATGAGTAATTGTTCAGGAACTGAGTATGTGCATGTGTAGCTGTTAGGTCCTTGGTTCCCAGGGGAGGAGGGGAAGCACTATGGCACGGAGGCTGAGAGGATTCAGAATTGTCAAAATGGCTTCAGGATTGTCTTAAAGTCTTACAGTTAGGGCTACAGAGAAACACTGTTTCTGGGGGGTGGGGGTCGTGTGTATGTTTGGGTGTGTGCATATGGCTGCAGATGCCCACAGAGGTCAGAGACTTGGGGGTTCCCTAGAGCTAGAGTTAGAGGTTATGAGCCACCCAACTTGGGTGCTGGGAACAGAATCTAAAAGGGTCCTCTCTTAAATGCTGGACTGTTTCTCGCCCCTGACCTTGCTCCCAAGGGCTGGGATCGCACGTGTGGACCACCACGTCTGGATTCCCATCACACCTTTGTGCTATGTTGGTAGGCTGTCCCTGACTGGAAAAGTTGGTGTCATCTGCCTTTCTTGGTTTCCTAGGCGGACTCTAGAGCTTTGGGACACGTCTTGGCTTGGTCCTAAAATATGGTGAACATGGAGACTTAATAAATTTTGGCTGTAATTTGGGGGATTTAAGATATTATGGTGATATAGGGAGACCTTTCTCAAAGAAAAAAAAATATATTATGATTCTCTAAGACCCAGGAAGCAAGAAACCAAGTCAGCTAAGCCACCAGCCTTCTGATCTCCAGGGCCACCGGCTGACAGCACAGAACCAGGCTGGGGAGAGCCTCATCTTCAGGCCAGCTCTGAGGTGACTTGCTGGGACAGTTGCTGTTAAGGTGGGCATTAGACTCCAGGAATGCTTAGGGCCAAGCCTGGCACCGACAGTTGGTCACTAAGGAGCCAAGCACTCAGAACATGCCTCCTGCCCTGGCCAGTGGGTCACCACCTGGAGTAACCACACATTATAATCCTTGAACCGAGGTTGGGAAAACAGGGCAGCAGGGGAGGAACAGGGCCTGCTGTGGAGAGAGATCTCTAGGCCTTAGAGGCTGGTGGGTGGAGGAGCTGGGTGTGGGGGATTCTAGCCTGCCCCCCACCCCTCCACCCCCCCCCACCCCCCCCCCCCAGGCCGAGTCTGCAGGGCAGACGGCAGGTAACTGCATGACAAAGGTGTGTGCTGGCTCTGTCTTGGGGGCAGAGAAGATGGGTGGGGTGGGGCACCTCTCGCCCTACCCTCCCTTAATCTGCCTTGGGGGCAGTTCACGGCTGCCTCGTGAACCCAGCGCCAGCCGCACATCTGCAGATTGTCAGACTAATCGATGGAAAAGAACTACAATTAAGGCTTAGAGCTAGGAAGATGAGCGAGAAATGAAGGGCACGGTGCAGACTCGGGAGGAAGGCCAGAGAGGCCCAGAGAGACGGCTCCTGCCACCGCCAAGCCCAACAACCCGGTCTGACGAAGGGGACCTCCACCCGTGCTCTGCGGAACACACACACACACACACACACACACACACACACACACACACACACACACTTAGGACGTAATTTTAAAAAAGTCTCTTAGAGAATAAGGTGAGGTCATTGCTCATTCCAGTTATCCCAGTTCTTGGGAGACTAAGGCAGGAGAATTGTCCTGAGGTCAAGGTCAGCTTGGTATCTAGAGTTAGGCTCCGTCTCCAAATAATAAATGAACCAATGACAGAGGCTGCTGGCTGCATCAGGAGACTCCCCAAGGAACACTCTGGCTCTCGTAGGCAGCTAGAGCCACTGACCCTAGCCAGCCGTCTCTCAGGCGGGGACAGGGCCCGGGCTCAGAACTCTGGTCTGGCTGTCTACACTGTGGGGTGCTTTGGCCCTGAGCCCTTTTGGGGCTGTGAGATCCACCCTGGGGACTTCATTTAGGGCAAGGTGTCGGTGTCAGTGCAGACAGACAAACATCCTCCCTAGCAGACAGGCTCTCCGAGGGCTATTCTCTTGCAAACGTGACAAGCACCAGGCCAGCAACCGGGACCCTGGAGGATTCTCAGGCCCAGAAAATCCCTGCAGGAAAGCTAAGGGTAGGCTTCCTGCACCCCTCCTCCTAATCCCATCCCTCAGCCTGGGGAGCTGGGGGAGGGGTGGATGACGAACACCAGGACGAAGGGAAGCTGGGTACCCTTCTGAGTCTGAGGCTCAGTCTTTGAGGGATTGGAGAGAGATGCAGAAGAGCTCTGAGAGGAACCTTGTATGAGGGGACGGGGCTGGGAGGGGGTTGGGGAGCAGGAAGTTGTCCCCAGGGGAGCCATCCAAACCCATTCAAGGGTTGAGCACTTGTTTAGGGTTAGAGATGCCCCCTCTGGGGACCCGGATTGTCCAGCCAAGGCCATTGTCCTGACCCTCCCCCCCCCCAGTCCCCTCCCAGGCTTCTTTGAACCTGAAATCAGATTTTTTTCCCCCCTCTACACACCTACCACCCTTTGGGTTTCTCCACCCAGGAACTAGGCTGGAGGCCTGGGATGAGAGGTGGGGGGAGAGAGGACTAAACCCCTTGAGGGATGCCCAGGCCTTGACTGTGAGGGGATCGTGGGCCTGAGTGGAGGCCTCACAGTGGGGGGAGGGGAGTCCCTGATTGGCTTGTCATTAGCCTTTGGACAACTTAGGTTGGGAGATATATGGGGACATTGCGGGTTGGGGCTGGGGGCCCGGAGATGAGGAACCTCTAGAGTCTGGAGGACTGAATGGGCATGGAGCGCCAGCCTCGTCCGCCACCTGCCCCCGGAGACAGGGTGGAATACTGGGCTTTCCCGGTCTCTGGAACCTACAATTCTAAATGGGTGGATGTCCAGTTGGTAGCACACTTTGTAAGTTGAAGAACTGAGGGGTGGCCCCAGAAATACTTGGGACAGGACATTCAATAAATGTTGGAGCCTCTAAGAGGATGGGGGCAGTGAAAGGCGGAGCGGGACAGTACCAAGCGGCTTTGGGGTGGGATGGGGGAGCCAAGCACTTGTTTCCTGAGCAATGTGGAGGTGGTCAACTCCGAGGTGTTCGGGGCCCACGGTAGGTGTGAATAGACGTTGAGAGTTGAAAATGAAGGTCCCCCTGGAGTCCTGCCCTAAAGGTTGCTCCCTCAGGATCGCTTCCAGACACACGCGGGCACCTTTCGCCTCAATTTCTCCCACCCCCTTGGCCCACTCCTCCACCCATCCAGGGGGCGGGGCCAGAGGTCAAGGCTAGCGGGTGGGATTGGGGAAGGAGGGCGGGAGAGAGGTTTAAGCAGTCCCTAGGTGAGCCCTCCTTCCGTCAGGCCCCCGGCTTGGGGTGCCTGTCTTCCCTATGGCTGGACACCTGGCTTCAGACTTCGCCTTCTCACCCCCACCTGGTGGGGGTGATGGGTCGGGAGGGCTGGAGCCAGGCTGGGTGGACCCTCGGACTTGGATAAGTTTCCAAGGGCCTCCAGGTGGGCCTGGAATCGGGCCAGGGGTTGGGCCAGGCTCAGAGGTGTTGGGGATCTCCCCTTGTCCTCCGCCATATGAGTTCTGTGGAGGGATGGCATACTGTGGACCTCAGGTTGGACTGGGCCTAGTGCCTCAAGTTGGCCTGGAGACTTCGCAGCCTGAGGATCGAGCAGGAGCGGAGAGCAACTCGGAGGGGGCCTCCCCTGAGCCCGGCACTATCCGTCCTGGTGCCGTGAAGTTGGAGAAGGTGGAACCAAGTCCGGAGGAGGTAAGTGAGATCGGCCTGGGACGGTCGAGGGGACATGGCTCCACTGGCAGAGGCGGCAGCGAAGAGAATTGGGAGCTTGCAGGACAGTCTTCCTAGCAAAGAAGGGGTTGTGGTGACTGTCTATTCCTGAGAAGGACACTGTTTGAACTAGAAGCCAGAATTGCAAGAATCCGAAACTGGCCTGTATTGTTCCGGCCTGTCCTTGTCATGTCGACGGTCACTATCTGGGCCTGACTGTGCCCCAGTGTTGGCCGGTTTCAGCTCCTTCTCCCTCTGCACTTAGCCCTTCTGGGGACTTGGTTCTCGGTCAGACCCAGGCCCTCAGGTTAAACATGGCTGGAGGGTGAAAACGCTTATCTTGGAGTTCTTGTTACTCCAAAGCTTGGGTGTGACTGACCGCTGATAGCTCTGGGCAGCAGGAGTTGGAGTTGGGTTCACCTTCAGTCAAGTTTACGGCTTGTCCGCCCTGCTTCTGCTGCAGACCCATGCGTGAGTGACCATTACTCTAAGTAAACACCCCGGCACCTCTTGTAGAGAGCTGGAGGTGCAGATTTGATCCGTTCAGCCCTACTTCCGTAAGTTGTAAACGCACTCTGGTAGGAGATGCTATCGCTATCTCTAGATCGTGCCGCGAGTGCACGGGCTTTGCTGAGTGACTGATGGCCTCCAGCAAGCCCTGGACGGGACCGCGGCAAAATGCGGGGCCGCCCTCGGAAGCAAGTGTAAGCAGTTAGCCATCAGGGAAAGGTGAGTGGACGCTGGTGCCGGCCAGTATTAGCAATTAGTGAGTTCGAGGCTCCCTGCCCAAGTGCCTGTTTATGCATTATCTCGCATCCTCTTAGCTACCGGGAGCCCCCTGGGAAGGCATTAGTAGTTTATCTCACGTCTTAAGTGGCCTTAATGAAGCAGGGAGCTTGAACCGTGGTTTACTTTATCCCAAATCCACAAAGTAGGATTTAGAAAAGCTGAGGCGCCAGCTGCGGGCACTTGATCTTTGCGGAGCGAGGTTGGAGACGAAAGTCAGTTTGTTCGAAGGTGGTAAAATCTCCGTTGAAACACCTTCCGAAGTTTGTGCTACCGCGTTGGGCTGTGCGTCGCTGGCTGCTGGGTTGACCAGCCTTAACTGGAGTATCTAAGACAGACCTGCTCTGCCCACCCCCCACTCCCACCCCGCGAAGGCTCACTTGCGCCACCAAATGACCGCCTCCTTTTCCATCTTCTGTTAGAGATAACCCGAAATGCCTCCCGCCATTTTTGTTCCGGTTCACTCTGAGGCTGCCTCCGCTCTTTGGGAAGCGGCCTCCACTGGCCATCCCATATCCCTCCCCACCTGGGCCCGACCGCCACTGCCTGCCAAGGCCTAAGTCGGGCTCTTAGTTTTCTTTTTTGTTTGTTTTCCCGAGACAGGATTTCTGTGTGTAACCTGGCTGTCCTGGAACTCACTCTGTAGACCAGGTTGGCCTCGAACTCAGATCCACCATCCTTTGCCTCCCGAGCGCTGGGATCAAAGCCGTGTGCCACTAACCGCCCGGCTTATTTCGTTTTTTTTTTTTTCCAGACAGGGTTTCTCTATGTAGTCTTGGCTGTCCTGGAACTATGTAGATCAGGGTGGCCTCAAACTCACAAGAGAGCTGCCTGCCTCTGAGGGGAGTGCTGGGGTTAAAGATGCGCCTCCCAGCCTTAATTTTAAAAACAAACATTTGTTGTGCTCGCAAGCTTGCCACCGAGCGTCTGTGGGCATCAGAGGCGGTATTCTCTACACTGCTTATTCTGGGGATCAAGCTCAGTTTGTCTGGTTAGCACCAAATCCATATTTTAAAATGTGTGGTAATGCCTTAGCTTCTGACGCATTGTCTACCATCTTAATTCGACTTGTCACCTGCACAAGCTGCTACCCTGCCCTCCTGGCTTTCCACAGCTCATCTCTTAGCAAGGGTTTTTTTTTCTCACACATTGGACTGTCAGCTCATGAGAGCAGGGCATTTGCCTGCTTTGTGAGGTGTGTGGTTTCTAAAGGAGCTCTCCAGCCTGGATCCTGTTATCCCCAGGGCTTGAGAAACCAAGGCAGGACAGCTACCTAGCAAGTCCCTGTTTCAATATCTCCACTTGTACTGTGTCAGTAGTTTTGAAACTTCAAAGCAAGCTGGGAGGGCGTGGAGTTTGGAGTCCAGTGGACCTGCTGCTCTTTATTTCTGCAGTCCTCCTGCCTCTGTTTCTTGAGGGCTGGGATTACATGCAGGGATTACCTGGCTCTTTCTGTAGTCTTAAAACTTACTAAAACTGGGGTCACATGTTGCCAGTGGGGCTGTTCTGGGCAATTTGTTAGCAAATGGGAATTTGCTGGGATGCTTGACCTGTGTTCTAATGCAGGGCACACTGGGTAGTGTAGGTGACCGGTTGCTAGGGAAAGAGCAATCCCTGCCACCTGGGGATAGAGAGTAAATGACATCAGCAGACCGGTTTTTAGTGGGCAGCCTGAAATGCTGAGATCTGGGGACCCCAGGGGCGAAGACTGACAAGCCCTCTTTCTCCCTGCAGTCCCAGGACATGAAAGATCTGCAGAAGGAGCTAGAGCAGTTTGCCAAGGTGCTGAAGCAGAAGAGGATCACCTTGGGGTACACCCAGGCCGACGTGGGGCTCACCCTGGGTGTTCTCTTTGGTGGGTTTTCTTCTGCATGTTCTGACCCCACAGCCGTCACAGCTCTCAATGTAGTTGCAAGGGGAAGGGCGTTTTAGGGGCTACCTCTCGTTCACCTGTGTAGAGGGAGATTAGAAACTTGAACTGCCTCTGGGAAGAGGTGGGAGCTTGCGAGGAGGGGTCTTGGAGGCCCTGCACGCTACCTTACTTTCCCCTTTGGCCTGCGTGGCTCCCCAGGAAAGGTGTTTAGCCAGACCACCATCTGCCGCTTTGAAGCGCTGCAGCTCAGCTTCAAGAACATGTGCAAGCTGCGCCCCCTGCTGGAGAAGTGGGTGGAGGAAGCCGACAACAACGAGAACCTTCAGGAGGTGAGCTTCACGTCCCCCGTCTCCCGGTCCCCCATGATGCGCAGGCAGGCACGCACAGTGCCTTCCTCCCAGGTACCAATCCCACCGGCTCCTTCCATTCATCATCGCTTGAAACGCTCCCTCTCCAACCAGAGATGCAGTTCTGTGTCCTGTGGTTGTTTCTTCCCCCGCTTCTAATGCTGAGGATTAGAATCCAAGGCCTTAATATTTGCTATTCAGTTTCTCTCTTCCTGGGGCCCCCTCATCCCAGGTTTAAATCTGATGGAACGTAGTTCTGGTCCCTCCCCAAACTCCGTTCTGCTGAGAAAGGCTCAGAGATTTAATCTAGGTCTCCCCCACCCCGTCCAGGATTCTCTTTCATTATAGTATTCTCCTTCTCTGGGGTCACATCCAGTCAACGCTCCCATAGCAATTTGCTCCCTGACAACCCCTTCCGCCCATGTCCAGATATGCAAAGCGGAGACCCTGGTGCAGGCTCGAAAGAGAAAGCGGACGAGCATTGAGAACGGCGTGAGGGGGAACCTGGAGAGCATGTTTCTGCAGTGCCCGAAGCCCACCCTACAGCAGATAAGCATTATCGCCAAGCAGCTCGGCCTGGAGAAGGATGTGAGTGGTACCTGGGTCCCCGTTCTCTTTTCCCTACCTCTGGCTTCGGCACCCGCGAGCTGATGCCAATCTTCTCTGTACCATCCTAGGTGGTCCGGGTGTGGTTCTGTAACCGTCGCCAGAAGGGCAAACGATCAAACGCTGATTATTCCCAACGAGAAGAGTATGAGGCTGCCGGGTCCCCTTTCCCAGGGGGACCTGTATCTTTTCCTCTACCCCCAGGGCCCCATTTTGGTGCCCCAAGCTATGCGAGCCCCCACTTTACCACACTCTACTCTCCAGTCCCGTTCCCTGAGGGCGAGGCCTTTCCTACTGTTCCCGTCGCTGCCCTGGGCTCTCCCATGCATTCAAACTGAGGCGCCAGCCCTGCCCGGGGATGAGGTGAGCCGAGGCAAGGGGGAGAGAGGTAGATAGAACCTGGAGCCACCACAGCCTTGGGGTGAAGCTCCTTTACTGAGGAGGGGTCCCAAGCACAAAAAGGGTGGGGAAGATGAAGTTCAGTGATGCTGTTTTGATCGTGAGCCTGTCACTCATTTTGTTCTTAAATAAAGCCTGGGACACATTGGATGGCTAAACTGTGTCTTCCTTTAGTTACTAGCTAGTCTGGGGATAGAGAAATCCAGTAATGGAGCCTCATGCCCAGGCAGTCCTCAAATAAAGGCGCCTGCAAACTCTTGGGTTATGAAATGCCAAAGGGATAGCTGGGATTGGAACTCAACCTACAGAGCAGAGTTTCTGTGTAGCCCTGGCTGCTCTGAACTGGAACTCAAGGTCTACATGCAGTTGACCACCTGAGTGCTGGGATTCAAGGCGTGCCTTGCCATGCCTGGCCTAAATTGTTAGTTTTTATATTTTGTTTGTATGGGTGCATTTGGGGCTTGTTTTATTTGTGTAAAGTGACTGTGGGGGGGTCACTGGATCCCCGGGAACTGTAGGTTCTGGGAACCAAACCTGGGTCCTCTGCAACTTTCCTAGACAAGGTTTCTCTTGTGTAGCCGCGCTGTTCTGGAACTCTGTAGACCAGGATGGCCTCTGCCTTTATAGAGCGCTGGGATTAAAGGCTGTCTATCCGTGGCTCTTAGCTGCTTGCTGGGCCATCTCTCCCACCTAAAAAAAATCAAGTCTTCAAGTGTTTTTTTTTTTTTTTTTTCCACTAGAACTCTTGGCCTCTGCCTCCCGAGTCACGGGATTAAAGAGCATGTGCCACCACTGCCCAGCAAAGATTTTATTATATATGGAGTGTTCTGGCTGCATGCCAGAAGAGAGCACCAGATCCCATTATAAATGGTTGTGAGTCACTAGTGGTTGTGGGAATAGAACTTGGGACCTCTGGAAAAGCAGCTCTGAGCCGTTTCTCTGGCCCCTCCTTTTAAAGAAAGGACCTTGTGTAGACCAAGCTGGCCTGGAACTCACAGTATGCTTCCACGCTCTACATTAAATCTGTGTGTGTGTGTGTGCACGCATGAATCCTTGAGTGCCACAGCACGGGGACAATGCGTGAACGTCTCTCTCCTTCCACATTGGGCTCGGTAGCCAGCGCCTTCACACACACACGTCATTCCCACGGTGCTTCTGCTGCAGGGAATTCCATCTTACACCACACCACGTCTAGGCTTCCCAGCATTTGGAAAGCGGGCTTAGACTCAAGGATAAATACCCCCATGTGGATGAAGCAAATTTATTTTTATTTAAAGGCAAAGCTCTGAAAAGCCAGTCACAGAGACCCAGTCAGCTGTGGTGCTAGCCATAGTATAAGGAAGCCCTGGGGTGGCTTCTGTGATGGTTGCTCCAGCAGCAGGTAACTCTGGTGTCCATGGGAACGAGGCGTGATTCCTTGTTACTGGGCATTCCAGCTCACTGGGAAGTTGGCAGCAACACCTTTGGCAGGAAACCATCTTTTATTTTGTCACCTCAGCCATGAGGGTTCTTCAGCCTTGAGTTGGAGTCTACGGCAATGGATTTTTCCTGTGCTCATTCCCTCCTTTGGAGAAAGGAGATATTTCTCAAGATCCATTCTTTTCCAAAAAATGAATGCTTTGCCTGTATATATGTATGTACATGTGTGCCTGGAGGCCAGAGGCCAGCAGACGTTGGATCCCGTGGGACTGGGGTGAGCTGAGAGCAACAAGCGCTCTTGATCACTGAGCCATCACTACGGTGTGAGTTCCATTTCCACTATCACTGCCCCTAAACCGGAGGAGCCAACATCTGTGTCCTCTGGCCTGCAAAGCCCAAGGTGTGAATCCAACACGGCATCCTGGGTGGCCAATGCAGGTCACGAGGTACCGGACATCACCGCCATCCAAGGCTACTGTCTTGTGGGTGGCCGCAAAGGTGCATGAGGATCCCTACTTTTTGATTTTTCAAGACAGGGTTGTAGCATTGGAGCCTGTCCTGGAACTAGCTCTTGTAGACCAGGCTGGCCTCGAACTCAGCAATCCACCTGCCTCTGCCTCCCAAGTGCTGGGATTAAGGGTGTGCGCCACTGCCCGGCTAGGGGCTCCCCACTTCTAAGGACAGTGGGAGTCTGGGAGTGTTCCTGAGTATCTTGTAGTCTAGACCTCGCTAGAGCGGCACAAGGGGCTCCAGGCCTGTGGGAGGAAGGAACTTGGAGGGTAAGGGGTGCCAACAGATCCATGCCTAACACACAAGGTGACGCCTGGAACCCCAGCAGGACAGATCAGCTTCCATTCTGACTGCCCTGTCCTTTACTTGGGGAATTTGAGGCTAGCCTGGGTTATACAATGAGACCCTTTCGTCAAAAGCAAACAGGGTTAGAAAGATGGCTCAGCTGATCTTCCAGAGGATTTGGGGTCTAGTGCCCCACCAGTTCCAGAGGATCCAATGCCTTCTGGCCTCAGGGTACTGCATACACGTGGTACACAGACATCCTAAGTTGACCTGCTTACTCTAGTTTTTGTTTTGAGGCGGGGTCTCAGTATGGGTCAGGTTGGTCTCACACTTGGCAATCCTGTCTTCTGCCTCGACTATCCAGTGCTGAGATTGATGGTGTTTTATGTATGTGATGGGACGCCAACCTTGGGCAAGTCAGGTGCATGCTAGCTAATGTCTCAGTGAGGCATTCCTGTGCCCCACCCCCTAGATTCTAGTTCTAACCCTTACTCCTGCAACCTCACACACATTTCCTGCATTTACGGATGAAAGCTAACCCGGATGTTATCCCTGTACCTCTCATCCCTGCCTTCTAAGACTTCATAAAAAGGAGTCTAGGGTGTGAGGTGCAGACAGAGGCTAACACTGAGGACTCAACTTACCCACTGGACACCAGAGCCGCTTTCTCCATGCGGAGCTTCTTCCTGGGCTCCATCAGGACGGACAGGGGGCACAGGGAAGCCTCGCTCTCATCATCTAGTTCTGCCAACACTCTGTGAGCCGATTTCCTCCGGTTCCTTGTGGGCGGAGCAGATGAAGCTCCCACTTCGCCGGGTCGGGTGGGAGCAGCCAGGCTTTGTGGTCGGCCTCCACCCCTGGAGAAGGTGAGGGGCTGGGGCTGCAGCTTGCTGAGGCTGCCGATGGAGTTGAGGATCAGTGTGGCCTTGGGGGCAGAGGAGAGGGTGCTGAGTGGCCGCTGGGGCGCCCCCTGAGGGGGCACCATGGGCTGGAACCCGGCCCCAGCTTCTCCCCTGGACCGAGGGACAGTGATGGCAGCGAAGTCCTGAGGTTTGACCCGGACTTGTTGGAACATGAAGTAGAATTCCGAGGAGCTGGTTCCTGCTTGCCCTTCAGGGCCAAAGGTCAGAAGGTCACCATCGTTCAGCTCCAGCCTGTGGCCTCTTGGGAGTCGGACATTATTGACCAAAGTCCCTGTTGATGGTGAGGCACAAGACAAGTGACAAGAACGGCGACCTGGTCATTTGGTTTTCAGGGGAGCACCTAGGAAAGTCCCACGAATGGGACGTTTTCTCGCTGTATTCCTGCTTGAGCAGATCTACCCCTAAACAGCTTATATTTTTTTGAGACAGTTTTAATCTGTCATCTAGACTGGCCCAGAACTCACAACCCTCCTATCTCAGCCTCTGGAGCGCTGAGATCACAGGGCGCGTGCATACACACACACACACACACACACACACACACACACACAGAGCCATACTTGCCCCCTGCTGTCCTTTTCCTTGACTGTAAACGTAAATGGCCCGTAACAGCAAGCACTCACGCTTACTGTTGGCTGTTACAGACCAATGCCAAAAACTTCAGATGAGGCTTCTCCAAACCTTGCATCTGACCTAATAATAGGAAACTAAGAACTGGAGATAAAAGAACTGTGGACTTTTGAGGCTGCCTAGGGCTGGGTGGAACACTGCCTTCATGGGAACAAGTCTGAGCTTAGTACTAGAGTGTCCCGCTGTGACGCTTTACCAATGACACCCCAGCGCCTCCTTCCTAGCCCAGCGTGAGCCAAAACAGCCGAGCAGGTTAGTCCTGGGAAGAGCTGACTGCACAGCTCTGGCGGGCAGGCCAGACCTGATCCTGCTTGCCTGTTCACGGGACACTGACACTGGGGCTGCCTGCTCACCGCTTACCTTGGCTGCTGTGGTCCTCCAGGCTGACCCTCCAGTCGTCCCCTTGGAGCTCAGCATGCAGCTCCGCGTGGACCCCAGAGATGAGGCCCGGCTCCTGCTGGGGCCGCAGGGCCACATCACACAGGTCAGCCCTGCAGCCCAGTCGGTAGGTGCAGCCCGACCTGGATGGGGGGTGGAAGGTGTAGAGATCACCGCCCCTGCCGCCCCCTATGCGCAGCAGCTGGAAGCAGGGCAGCATCGGGGGTGCTCCCTCTGCACCAACTTCTGCCACCTCAGCAGCTCATCACCGCCCCTGCTCCTGGGCCACGCACCGCGGGCTTCAGTTCAGTGCTAAGTGACGTCAACAGCTGTACCGAGGGCAATGCCAACTTGAGAAATAACAGATTCAGGGCGCCAGAGGCGGTAGTGACTGTCAGGACGAGACTTAAAAAGCAATTCCAGGAAAGTCCTGATGCGATGCAAAACTAGGAAGACGTGCTGCGGGACCTCGGGGGAGCCGGATTCTCGGGCCGCAGAGCATCCGGGGAGGCTCTAACAATCTGTGCAAGGCAAAGCTACTTTAAGCGGCAGCTGGGAACATGCAGACGGGGTGGGGAGGTCCTGCGACACGAACGTGCGTGCGGCACGGACGTGTCCCCTCAGCTGTAGCCCGGAGCCGGGAAACTTCCTAATCCAGGTGGAGCACCCCTTCTGTCCGCCCCCGCTCTTCGGTCCCTCGAGGGAAGAGAATCCGCTGTCACCCACAAAGCGCGGCGCAGACAGGTCCCTGATACTGCAACAAAGTGGATCTCACCCTTTCCTTTTTCGCTTGCGGGGTAAACTGAGGAAGGGACTCCACACCTTGCGCCCCTCGCTCCCGCTGCGGTTTGACAGCCAGGAAGCCGCCGGGAGGGCGCGGCTTAGGCGCGCGCGCCGCGCAGACTCCTCCTTCAGAATTCCCGGGCCCAGCTTCGCGCCTGCGAGCCCGCCTTCCCCCCCCGGCTGCTTCTGATTGGCCGTCTGAGTTGCCCTCTTCCGTTCTACTGGATGAGGCACAGGGAGGAGCTGTCCCTCTCCCGCCCTCCGCCTTTTCTGATTGGCTCACACGTTTTCCCGGGTTCCCGGGGTGGGGTGGGGCCATCAGGGCGCGGGGAAGGCCTTAGGCGTCAGTGTGCCGGCGCGCACCTTTCTTCTTCCTCCTTCCGGCCAGGAGAAATGGTGCTTTAGAGCATTTAGAGCAGCCCGCCAACCCACCCGCCTCGCGCATGCGTGATCGGGGGTGTGAAGCCTGGACCGGGAGCTCGGAGTAAGGGGCGTGGCAAGAGGGCGGATCTCGCGCCGGGTAAGGGGCGTTCGGCCAGAGTCGGTTGGGGGCGGAAAGGGTCTGAGAGGGGGTGCTAGGGTGGGTGGACGGGGTCCGCAGGGGAAGGGGGTGCAGGAGCCCGGAAAACAAATAGATGAGGGGGGCGAGACAGCCTTAGCGCTCAGGGTGCTCAGGGGGATGCGTCAGGGGTGTGTGCAGGAGAGGAGAGGGGGAGACCGGAGGACAGGGAGCGCAGGATAATTCGGTCCAGAAGGATGCAGACTAGAACTAAGAGGAGAAGCGTGTAGAATCTCTGGATTGCGTGAAAACAAACAACAACAGCAGCAACAACAACAAAAAAAGACATTTGAATTCGGATGGGAGTTGGACAAAGAAGATGCTGTAGGGCTCCGAACAGAGACGGGCTTCGGGAATGGAAGCAGAGGGGATGGGGATAGAGAGAAACTGAGGCCGGTTACCGAGAGGCTCCGTTGAGATAGCAGGAAGCTGGGTTCCCGGCAACGGGCTCTAGGCTGCTTGCGTTCCCCGGGGATCCTAGGGAAGCCACTTAACCCCATATGTGGCCTCATTCTTCTGGGGCCAGGCCTTGGGCTAACGCTTTGAAAGGAATTGACCCAGAAATCATGGCTCGTTGGTACCTAGATGGGCTTCCCAACATCCCTACCATTCCATGGCGAGAACTGTGGAGACCGAGCTTCCTACGGGCCCTCTCACCTCCAGCCCTGAGCTGCAGGGACCGTAGACCCTTAAGGAGGAAGGTAAAGCACCACCCAGAATCCTGTAAGTAGAAGCAATCTCCAAGGCACCCTCTGGCCCCCATCCCAGTACATTTACCTCATGGTTGTTGCCTCGGGTTCGTTCTCTTAGGAATGTGATTGGGACAGGCAAGTGGTTTGGTTTTCATCTGCCTTCTTAGGGAAGTAGGGAAAGAGAAGCTTAGAGCCCTGTGGGTCAGTCAGTAACTTTAGTATTTTATCACTTTGTTATTATAGGACTTTCTCTTTGGAAGGTGGCCTGAGAACTGAACTGGAGTGTCCTTGTTTCTCCTATTGTCCAGGGGAACGTACATGCCTGGAGACACGATCCAGAGGCTTCAGATAAGACAGAGATGTTGCCACCTTCAGGTCAGTGAGGCCAGTCCAGGAGGCTGGGGGTCTCCTCTCTTGCTGAGAAACTGACAGTCTTTTACTCTTGTGATCCCCTCAGGTTTTGCTGGGCTGGTTCCTCCCTCTCACTTCCAAGCTCGGCCCCTTCCAACTCTGCCAAGAATGGCCCCTACCTGGGCTTCCGACATTGCCCGGGTCCAATCCAGGGCTGGCCAAGGTGTCGTCGAGAGGCGGTTAGACACTCAGAGGCCTACAGTGACCATGTGGGAACAGGATGTTTGTGGAGATGGACAGGGGACAGGGCGGAGAGGCAGGTAGGGGTTGGACTTGCTAGTGATCCTTTGTACACACATGCCTTTATTTCAGCCCTTGGTTCCATAACTTGTGTGGTTTTCTGTAGGCGTTGTTGGTGCCTACAATGCATATACCATATGCACTGGGGATAACAAAGAGAGCCCTGGACTTAAATTCCCAGCTACCAAGGAATGTAACTGTCTAAGGGAGGAGATGGGTGGATGGCCCAGAAGCTGTTGGGAAGCAAGATGACACGTAGCTTAGACATGCTGACCCGGTACAGTGTTCCATACTGCTTCTTATGGAGTAGTTAAAAAGGTCTATACAGGCTGGAGAGGTGGCTCAGAGGTTAAGAACACTGGTTGCTCTTCCAGAGGTCCTGAGTTCAGTTCCCAACAACCACATGGTGGCTCACAACCATCTACAATGAGATCTGGTGTCCTCTTCTGGTGTGCAGACATAGATGCAGGCGGAATACCATATACAAAATAAATAAATAAATACTTTAAAAACAACAGATTTCAGCGAGCTCACATCTTTAATTTCACCACTTAGGAGGCAGAGGCAGGCGGATCTCAGTGAGTTCAAGGCCAGCCTGGCCTACAGCCAGTACTGTTACACAGAGAAACCCTATCTTAAAAAAAAAAACAAAAAATCCTTTATAGGATTATGCCTCTGCATATGGCTATGCTCTGAATATGTGTTTTAAGATTTTATTTTATTTTTTTTTTTAACAATTTTTTTTATTAAGAAAAGAAGAAAAAAAAACATAAACAAAAAACAAGTTTCCACCTCCTCCCAGCCTCCCATTTCCCTCCCCCTCCTCCCACCCTTCTCCCCCTCCTTCCACACTTCTACCCCTCCCCCCACTCCTCTCCCCCTCCCTCTCCAGTCCACAGAGCAGTCCAGGTTCCCTGCCCTGTGGTAAGTCCTAGGTCCTCCCCCCTCCGTCCATATCTAGGAAGGTGAACATCCAAACTGGCTAGGCTTCCACAAAGCCAGCACATTAAGTAGGATCAAAACCCCGTGCCATTGTCCTTGGTGTCTCATCAGCCCTCATTGTTCGCCATGTTCAGAGAGTCCGGTTTTATCCCATGCTTTTTCGGTCACAGTCCAGCTGGCCTTGGTGAGCTCCCAGTAGATCAGCTCCACTGTCTCAGTGGGTGGGTGCACGCCTCGTGGTCCCGACTTCTTTGCTCATGTTCTCCCTCCTTCTGCTCCTCATTGGGACCTTGGGAGCTCAGTCCAGTGCTCCAGTGTATAAATATTTTATTTTTTTTTTAAAGATTTATTTATTTATTACATATACAGTGTTCTGCTTGCATGTATACTTGCAGGCCAGAAGAGGCCACCAGATAACATTACAGATGGTTGTGAGCCACCATGTGGTTGCTGGGAATTGAACTCAGGGCCTCTGGAAGAGCAGGCAATGCTCTCAACCTCTGAGCCATCTCTCCAGCCCCTCAAAAATAAAATCTTAAGGGGCTGGAGAGATGGCTCAGAGGTTGAGAGCATTGCCTGCTCTTCCAAAGGTCCTGAGTTCAATTCCCAGCAACCACATGGTGGCGCACAACCATCTGTAATGGGGTCTGGTGCCCTCTTCTGGCCTGCAGGCACACACACAGACAGAATATTGTATACATAATAAATAAATAAATATTTAAGGAAAAAAAAGATTTTATTTTTGAGCTGGGCATGGCCTGCCTTTAATCTAGAGCGGCAGAGACAGGTGGATCTTTGAGTTCAAGGCCCCTCCCTGGCCTACAGACTGAGTTTCTAGACAGCCAGGGCTACATAAAGAAAACCCTGTCTGGATAAAAGGAAAGAAAGCAAAATAAGATTTTATTTCTATCTATGTGCGAGCATGCGTACTTGGAGGCCAGAAGAGGCTGTAGGGTTCTCTGGAGCTGGAGTTACAGGCGGCTGTGAACATCAGATGTGGGTGCTGGGAACTAACTGAACTGGGGGTTTTGCCAGAGCAGCCAGCACTCTCAGCCACTGAGCCATCTCTCCAGCCCCCAGGAATATGTCTGTGTGTGAGTGAGAATCCTTTGAAGCCTGGAGTCTGACCTGGTGCTTGCTCTACAACTCAGACTGGCCTCGAACTCACAGAGATCCGCCTGCCTCTGCCTCCCAAGTGCTGAAATTAAAGGTGTGCGCCATCACTGCCCGGCTGCTCGTGGTGTTCTTATGATGGTGTACGTGTAGAGATCCTCCGGCCTCAGCTTTAGCCCCTGGCTTCCCCACATAAAGTAGGGGGTCACTATCCTCTTTGCTGTCTCCACCCTCCCCGCAGTACCTGGGACGCATCTCACCCGTGCCCACTTGTCTTTGAAGGTCTCTGGAACTGGGGGTCTCCAGCGCCCTGAGCCAGCAGGCCGAGCTGATCTCCTGGCAGCTCCAGGACTTGCGGCGGCTGGAGGAGGAGGTCCGATCGCTACGGGAGACCTCGCTGCAGCAGAAGATGCGGTTGGAGGCACAGGCTCTGGAGCTGGATGCTCTCGCCGTGGCAGAGAAGGCTGGCCAAGCTGAGGCTGAGGGCCTGCGTGCCGCCTTGGCCGGAGCCGAGATGGTCCGGAAGAACCTGGAGGAGGGGAGCCAGAGGGAGCTGCAGGAGATGAAGAGTCTGCACCAAGAGCAGGTGAAGATGGGGGCGAGAGGGTGCAGGGAGCCTGGGGGGTGGGGGGGTGGGAGCAGAGCCATGGCATCTTGGAAGGGGAACGTGGGTGTTTTGGTCTTGCTCAGGCTGCAGTTGTTCTTGGGAGTCATGTGACCTGGCACCATTTGAAACGCTCCCAAGTAGTATTTCCCAGTTCTCTGCCAGGTACCCTTCTAGGAACCTGGTGGAGGGAGGGAGGAAAGCGGGTATGGATCCCGGGAAAGACTGAGAGGAGAACATTGTTCAGTCAGGATGCCCACGGCTTCTCTTTGCCATCCTCGAGGTAGGAGCCGCTCGCCTGGGGATTCAGTGATCAGGTTGCCTGAGTCTCTGCTGTCATGAATGGAGCTGACAGCCTGGTGGGGACACATTTAATGTGGCTATAGCCAGCTGCAGCTGGAAAAGTACTGCAGGGTGCAGGAGCACGAATGTGGCCGGGGACAGGGAGGGCAGCCACCCCAGGCCATGGCGAGGTCAGGAAGGGAAGCTATAAAGATGAGTGTTTTGTTTGTAATATCGGGGCAGCAGAGGCCTTTGTGCCCGGGAGTCATCACTGAGAAGGCTCCCCGAATG